TATAAAACTTTCAAATTTGTTGTGATTATTTGAAATAAGCAATGAGTGTGTAAAATTTTTATATTTGTGTTATTGTGTGAAAACTTTTGAAAACCTTCCCAAAACAAATATAATATGTAGACACTTATTTCTCTTATTTTAAAAATTAAAATAAATAACACAAAAACCTTCGGACTGAAAATTTTAGTAGAACACTAAAATATTGTCAAAGTTTATGTTTTTTAATTATTTAAATAATTATTTCGGTCAAACTTTTATGCCTTAATTTTTCAAACTATGAGTCTTTTCATATTCGAATGCTTTAGGGCTTTATGTCATAAAAAGGCCCTTCTGTCTCCAAGTATTTTTCTCTTCGAAAGGGGGGATAGGTAAGATATAAAGTATGAAAGAAATTTATTAACGTTTATTTGGCAATATTCCTTTTTTGTTACTCATTTTAATTTGACTACTTCCCCTTCTTGCCCTAAAACTACTAATTGTTTACAATAAACTTTCTGAAATGCATCATTTCTAGATTAATCCATATCATATAACTTTTACATAACGATAATGACGTATTTATTTTAACCGAAACGTTTTTCTTAAACTAAGTTCTCATACTGAAGAACTACGCACTTGCTTTCTGACCTTTGGCGTAGCTAGATTGCTGCTTGTGTTTCCTTCTTACCTCAAAAGCTGTAAAAGATACGAATATTTTATCAGAAATGTGAATCAGGCACGATTATCCTGCCAAGTGAATTGTGGATACAAATGTCAAATGAAATAAAAATTAATATCTAGCTTGCTTCGGCTGCCAAGTTATTAATTGTTAAGTTTGAGTTTCTTTGGAAAAGAAATCCTTATTTATTTTGATTTTGACATTTTGTAAGCTTTAACAATTAATGCCTTCTTTTGTATATATTAATTTGTACAGATTTCGACAGTTTTTCATTGTTTTAACAATACTCTTAGAGTGTCGAAAGTATTTTTTTCTAAAATAAAGATCTCGTCTAATTCCGTTCTTAACTAATACCTTAAATTAAGAAGAACTTTTTATTCATTTTTATTTTATATTTTGTTTGTGATAAAAACTATTTTGGCTTAAGTAGACTAATATGTTTCTAATAATTGAGTATTGTTGTATATGATCGATCCTCTAACAAAATATCTAATTTTATTCTTATTTAAAAAAAAGAAATACTCTCACTTAATTTGGTTATTTTTAATTGATAGTAGATTGGTTTGTTAACCTTGACAAGTCAATTAATCTGCTATAATAGCTACGTTTTCAGCACTTTGGAATTTGAATTTATTATTTAGAATTTTTACGGTTAAAGGATTTTCTATATAGATTTTACATAATTTTTACTACAGTAGAAATCTAAATAACTTTGGATACTGACTTGGAATGCTACTTAAATTACTTACAAAACATTTTCTAGTAATTCATAGCTTTAATTAAATTTACTTTCCTTGCAGATGATATATAAAAAATTTTCTAATAACAACAGTAACAATATATATGATAATAAAAACCTATCTAAACTAAACGTAATGAACTGCTGTAAACATTAAGGTTGTAATGTCAGTAAAAGTTCATGACGTTTTTTACTTTCACTAAGGAATATTCAAAAATCAAATTTCTAGAGCTCAACTTTTTTTTAATCATTTATGGATTTCTTGAATAATTTTTTGTAAGAACTCAAATTATTTTGATGATGGTTTAATTAATTATCCACATTAAAACTTCCTTTAATAGAATGCGTTCGTCATTCTATCAACAGCATTAGGAAATTGCTGAATCAAGAATGCTAAGGTTTTCTAAAATTTTGAAAAAACAATTAATCTAAGAGCTTCTGAATTCAGCAATGCATCTTTTTTTAATTAAAAATGAAAAGAATGTGTAAAAAATTCAACTTTTTAATAATTACAAACGTATTTGCATTTCCAGTTATTCAGTTAGAAGATTAACTTAGATTAATTCTATGCTTCATGCTTAGAAATTTCAATAAACGTAATTAATGGGTAAGATTATATAGATTACTAATAAATTACATTAAGACATACTTCAGATAAAAAATTTCGACATGCCGATTCACATTTAAGTACTTAAAGCAATATCAAATTATGTTGAAATTAAATTTAATTTCATACAAAGGAAAGTGGTTTTCAGAATATTAATTTATTTGCTTTGAAATGTATTTTATTTGTAAAGATGTTAAATTGCTTTTTATGATGAATAAATCATTAGAATTAATTTAAAACCGTATTTGTTATGAAAGGAAAACAATAAAGATGATTTCCAAGTAAATGACATTTTTCATGATGTATTTCGTTTTTTAAAAGTAAGAAAACTAATTTAGCTAAGATATCTTAAATTAGTTCTTTTCAAACTTTGGACACTCAAATATCTCAAAATCTATTTTTGAAGTAGACAAAAAAATCTAAATCTCTTTGCTCATCTATAGCTACTTAACTAATTTTTCTCTAGTTAACGTTTTATTTCAATAACACTTAAATGATTTCATTTCTCTAACAGTATTTTTTTAAGTCTGATCTCATAATATTATTCCTAGTTTTGTGTCTTAATGTCTAAGTTGAACAGCAGGGAATTTTGGACGCGATATGAAAGACATTATGATATTATCCTTAAGTATTTTCAATGGTAGCTAATATAATAACATAATATTTAGTGCTAATATTGAAATAATTAAACTGTTCAACAGTGTTAATTGCTGTTCAGCAGAGTCGTAATCCAATTCAGTACATTTATGTCAATGCTTGACAAGCATGTATATACCGGAAGCAATGAAATTTCTCTCAACGGATACATAAGCGCTTATGTACTACTGCCAGTCGTACCTCATCTTCGTACTGAACTTTGTCCCTTGAAGAAGTACATTCAGCTGTCATCTCCAGTGATGATTCGCTGCATAAATGCTTCATCAGAATGCCTAAGGAAAAAGTTACTAATAAACATCCACGTTTATCTCTTTTCAGATGAATGGCGTGATAATTTTCAGCTCGTCATGAATGGTGTGATAGGCTGATTCAACATTAATTTCCAATATTGATGTCACCTTCTTAGGTGCGGTGCATATGATTTCCGTATCTCGTTCTCCACGGCAGTTATGTTGTCTTCTCTGAGTACTAAGATCGGGACGAAAAAAAATTTTCCTTGTAGTGAAAATGGTTTTCATCTTCTAAGTTCATACATACGCTTATTTACGCATCGTGCACTGTCAGCGTAAGTGAATTTTTATCTGACAATGAACGTAAACAGGATTTTTTTCTACTTCGGTAAACAAACATCTTACGACGCTTCCGCTTAAATTTAATGAGCTTGTGCTTAAAATATCGCTTTTAATGGCATCGCCATCTTGTCGAACTGCTTTCGCCGATGATCCAACCTATACCTTATTAAGGGGAAGACATTCTATTAGTTTATAAGGTATTTCTCCCGCTTTCTTGGCATGCCTTCGCGGTGTCGTGGTCTGCACGCTCAGCGTGTAATTGAGAGGTCCGTGGTTCGATTTCCAGCGAAGGCGTTGCTCATTTTTTATCTTTCCTCCTTCCAAATAACCGACAAATTTATATATGGTAATATATGTAGTAAGGGTTTGCGTCGCGTTAACAGGATTATTGATTCGATATAATACCGTTTATTATCACCTTTAGAAATCACTAAATTTACAATTCCTTATAATACGGTTAATAACGCTCAAATTGTGGGATCCAGTTTCTTTCGCTATGATAAAATGTAACTAGATCTAACTAAGTGTTAGTTCTTGAGACTTCTCACAAAGGCTTGAAGAAGAACACAAGTGTAAAAGACTCTTTTATTGAGCGAAATGTAGTTTACAGACTTCACGGAATTACGTGCTTACAAACACCGATCACTTGCGATGAAAACTTAAAAAATATATAATACTAAATTTAAAAGTAAGAATAGTATAAAACTACACAATTCAATTTAACCTAACAGGTTGACTCAGACCTACACCGGAAGGATAATAATTCGGAGCAAGAATGCGAAACTGATGACCACGTTTAACAACTGGAAGAAATAGCAATGTGTAAGTATGCTTTAAATAAAAATGTTGCTACATCAGTGTAAATACACTCGTTTACCCTAGTTTATTTACACCCTGACAAGGAAACGCGAGGAAATAAGAAAAGACAGAAAAGGTTAACAAATTAAGATAATTATTAGTAGAAATAAATGAAATTTTACAAAATCATAATGCCATTTTAACCATGGGTCGTTGTACAATTCTCTAATCTAACCTAAAAAATGTATTGATTTTGATAATGACTTGTAATACTTCTATGAGTACACAACCTTAATGCAATTGCAGTTATATTTTGTTATAACGTGCTTATATGCAAAACTGAAATTTATAATGATTCGATAAAACTATTACTGTAAAAACCAGTTTTTCATGGCAACCTTTGCATTTACCCAATCAGGATTCGTGCTTTATTATTGTTTTCTGTGTTGTCTTGTAAACTAACTATCGGTTGTTAATTATTATTATTTTTTTTGTTTTCAAGAAAACTTCAATTTCTTACTTACAGTATTATTATCCTTGTTTTGCCCATTAAATTTTCTTAAAACTTCCAAAAATACAACCATGGAAAACTGGAAGCAAAGATTCTCTCCATCTTTCCTAACAACTTGTACATAATTAAAAGTTAGAAGCTGATCTAACATACAAATAACAGCTTAAATGATTTTAAGAGTTTGCATGTTAAAAGTAGCCGGATTCTCATTTTATACGAACAGCTTCTGGAAATCTTTATTTATTAGGTAACCGAAGTTCATCACAGCATTCTGATGTAAAATAAATACTTACATGTATTCTTAAACTTTTGTAAAAATAATAAATCGCATACTCGAGAAATTGCAAAAACTGAAGTTTAACCCACATGTGAGTTAAATTTACACCTTTCTTTAATAACAGATTTTGTTCTAACTAAAGTAAATAAAATGTTTGGTAACTATCCGTAGTGTTACTTACATTGACCACCTCTTTTACAAGCTCCGTTACTAGCAACGCTTATGGACTTTTGGTACCTGCAACTGAATAACCGTAGCTGGCATTCTGATCCATATGTAGTGCCATCAGTGCCACATACAGTTTCCTTATTGTCAGCGTTAGCGCACTGAAAGTCACAGGTGCATTGAGCGAGGCCATCCTTTTCTTGACATGTTGCACCGTGGATACATCTCAGATCAGAACAGGATCCAGACACAGCCTTGGAAATTGACACTAGAAAAAAACGAATAAAAATATTATTTGGGACAAAACTAATAAATCTAAACATTGTATCATGTTTTAATAATGTTGCTTCATGAAGGAAATGAGCAATAATGTGATGGCATTAGAAATAATTTACAAATCCACTAACACTTTCCACTAACACTTGTATGAGGAAGCACTAAATCATAGGAATATCATCACAGAGAAATACCCCGAAGAAGTGCATTTCCCTTTCTAGCGAAAGAGGCAAAAACTGTCAAGATAAAGCTACGACAAAAAGTAATGGATTTTTAAACAATGAAAACGTACGTAAACGCGTGTTCCGCAATTCTTCACAATTCTCTGTGACTTATCGCAGTGAAAGGCTGTCGTGGACAGCAAGATGTAGTAAACAAAAAGTACGCGTTACAGTGTCGTTATGAATTGAAAAATCATTATTCAGAAATGAAAACTGCAAATATGACATTCATGTGAAACGTAATGGATATCACATATGATCAATGTGTGATGAATAACATCACCCTTAGATGTGTGCAAAAGTTCATGTGTACACGTAATTGAGGATCGAAGTTTGGAAGTTATCAAGTAGTGATAAACGCAAGAAGTAGAAAGACTATCAAAGATATTTTGACTTATTTCAAGTTATTAAATTCGTATCAGTTTGTAAATGTACTACTTTTTTAGAGTACTTTATAACGATACTACTATAGTAGTATATGCAGTTATATACCTCTTATATATATATAGAAGAGATATATAACTGCATATATAGCAGCTATATATGCAGTTATATACCTTTTTTTTATTGCATTCAGTTTAACCTCTTCTTCATGAGTCCAAAAATTAGGCATGGGGAGAAGATTTATTTCATGTTATTCGAGGAAAGTACAAAAGATAATTAGACCCACAAGTTCTTTATATGGATAGTGGAATGAAAATGCTGCAACCCGAATGTACACTTCTATTACGTAAGCTAATTTTCATTTAGGTTGTGCTATCTTATTATTAAACTTCTGTTTTAACAGCAGCAAGACGACAAAAGTAACACAGCTAGGATTTAAATTAACCTAGAATGCATATCTGTGCTAAATATATTCTAATGTACGTTATTTTTGAAATCATTTCATTAATTTCGAGTAATCAGTTTGTGGTAGAGATATAGCCCCTAACACTATTATAGTGGAAATAAATATAGTATTAAAGTCAAGGTTTAAGAAAAATTTAAAAGTAATATAAAATATTACGCTATATTGGAATTGGTATATATTGCTAAAATTTATAATTTCATTAACTCTTTTAACGATTACATATTTCTCTGCTCCCTCGATCTTTTTTTAAATCGATATACCAACTTATAAAACTTAATGATGAACTATTATACCAATACTGCCAAGTGCAATTTTATTTACTTAGTTTTATTGCTCTAGAGACCCAGCTGCCTAGCGGAAAAGTCGCTGAACACGGGTAATTCGACCTCGATTCGATTCCAAGCAAACAGGTTGTCTGCATGATCGATTTTGTTGTTTTCACCGTTTGTAAAAAGAATATGATCCAGTTTATTTTAGAAAGTCCTCCGCGAAGGCATTCCGTCCCTTAAGCAGATAGCTCCAGCGTGCTTTGAGATAACAACAACAACAACAACAAAAAAAAAAAAAAAAACTTATAAATAAAAAAAAAATAAACATTAATCAATATTTCATAAAAGAGTATTTTTAGAATTGTTCAAATTACCTTCATTAACTTATTTTTAATATCTTCCCCGAAAAATCAGTTATTTAATGCTTTAAATAAGCTTTTGCAATTAAAAACTCCATTGAAATTTAAAATTTTTATTACTAGATATTTCAGCAAAGCTTTCCAGTTATTTATAAATATGCAGAATTATTTACTGCTATTTCCTACTCATAAAAAACACAAACATCTCGGCCGTTTTTAAATATTTGTTATTTTAAGTAATGCAAAAGAATTCATCGGAATTTAAATGCTTTTATTATCTTCCAGAGCCAAGAATGGAAATAAGGATGCGAAGAAAGCAAAACAAGATAATGATCTTCTTTTTCCTTTGCAGCAACATGACATGCAATCAGTTTAAGTGCATCTTAAACTTCTTTCAAACATAAGTCTGTTCATTTTTTACTGAACTCAAAAGAACGAAGATTGTATTTTGTGTGCGATGATTTTATATTTTATTTCTTACCAACAGCATACATTTTTAAGAAAAATTAAACATAAATTGAGATGTAAGCAAATGATCTTAATAAATACGTGATTTAAACTCAAGGCGTTTTTAAATATGCGCATTTCACAATTAGAGTAACATATGACGTTTTCAATGAATCTTTGAATTCATTAAAATTTCTACACCCGCAAACGATGTTAAAACGAAAATATCATTTTATATAGTTATACAATTAAATAAGTTTAGATATTAATAAATTCAAAAAATATGGTAGGGATATATTTAGCTAAGTTTCTGCTTATTCTATGAGAGATTTTTCTGATTTTTAAGGTGCGTGTGAAACTGTGAGGATTAAATATTATTTAATGAAAATTGTAAACATTTCAAAGCTATTCTAAAAATACTGTTACGTTTAATTTTCTTCACAGGTTCGTGCAGATTTGGAGTGAATAACGAAGACACTTGATGAAGTATCGAAACACACTTTATTTAGCCAATATTAACCATGACAGCTCCAAAGTCACTTTTTACAGTCGTCAAAGATCTACTATAAACACGCTGAAACTCAGCGACACAGCCTTCACACTATCAGGCTATAACGGTCAAGACAGCTTTACTGAAAAGCACTAGAGTACAGCTCCCGACTCTGCTTGGTCATTCTCGGAACTCCACGTACTCTCGAGACTCTCCCCGCTACAACTCGCGATGCAGTCTATGACGCACAGAGCACAGCTCTCGACTCTTCGGTTAAGTCGTTCCCGGACCTCAACACATTCTCTCTACGATGCACTAACCGGGATACACTAAGAGACTTTTTCAATGCACTCGACGACTCACTCGGCACTCGCTGCCCGGCTCCGCACGGACTGACTAACTCGAGACTATCTCGCACTTCCAGAAGGTTTTCCAACCGTCCACGGCATAGCGCCAAATTTGTCGCCAAATGTGGCAACCCTAAACCTGCTTTGCGGAGAAGCTACCTTACCGCTCCTGGACATTACGTAACAATACTATGCATTGTTTCAGAAAACTTTAGTCTCCTGTGACTATCAGCGGTGATCAGCGGTACTAATACTTTTCAGAAATACTGGTAATTTTCAAAAGTAGTCGCCTACGGGAGTAATAAACATGACAGCATATTTCACACGGTGAAATTCATTATATATGCTGGAATACTTCATTTAACATGGTTTCGTTTAGGCCCTTTTAGAATTATCAAGGTTTAAAATTATAACATTTTGCATAACACGATACAAAATTTACTGACATGGTGCTGACATGACATGATGTTACAATTACTACTGAACAGCACATATTTTCCGAATAATAGGATTAATTTCAGGGTACGCCAGAATGGTATTCATCAAAATTTGGTATCATATTTCAATGGAAATTTCAATTTTGAACGTTCCCGGATCCATTTGAACGATGTGTGTACATACGAACTGAATAAAGGACTCTTTTTTTTTTTTTCCAAAACGGTTTGTAAAAAAGATTTAAAGTCGATTTAGAAAAGATTTTTTTCGTGATATATCTCCGTATGTAAGTGTGCAAGTATGTATATATCTCGCATAACTCAAAAAGATTAGACGTTGAATATTGAAATATTCTGTATATGGGACTGCTATAATATCTAGCTGTGCATCTCTCTCTTTATTACAATCAGCAATATTAAACGAGTATATATATATGTAAAAAAAATATCTACCTTACTAGTAATAAATTAAAAAGCTGATCTGTACACCACATGACTTCCTTCTACGGAATATTAAATTATGTGTATCTTTTACTGCATTTCATTTAAACTTATTTCTTCGAATTTCATCATTACAGATATATGTACGGAATATTAAATTATACGCATTTTTTCCTGCATTTCATTTAAACTTATTTCCCCCGAATTTCATTAGGCATGCATTTCTCATTCAATTAATTCAGTTCTCACTTCGCGGTGAGACAAAAATGTATAAAAACTCTAAATATTATCATTAAAAATTGTAAGATATAGAAAAGCATAAAACACCAAATACAGTTAAAACAATTTTTACAATTAAAATTACAGTTTCTACGCAAAAAACAAGCAATTCGGCCAGCAGGCAAGAAGGCAGATGTTTCCGTGCACAGAACTAAAAGTTTCGTTATGGTCCTACTCGGCAAAAAGACACTGAAGGTGCAGAAAGAATAAATTCACTATTCTTCAAGGTTTCTAATGTAAAAAAATATGGCTGCTATGGTAAAAATAATTAAGCTTAGCCTCACTTAAATAATTTAAAAATTCTTGATAATTCTAGAAATATTGCATGCAGATAAACTAAAGGCATGAAACCTTAACTAAATATAGCAGAAAAATATTTAAATTATTTTTAAAGCAAAAAAGCGACAATTTACCAACATATAACAATAAAAACCTGAGCTCATTGAGCCTAGTAATAGAGTGGGGATATATATATATATATATATTTATATACTTTTGGTGCAGAAGATTGTAAGTAAAAGGGGATGTGCACAACTACATGTTACGGAAGTCCTATATACAAAATTTCACCTTTCTGAGGCTACTCTGTTTTGAGTTATGCGACATACACACGTACATACTGACACCACGAAAAAATCTCTTTTGAATCCATTTTGAATCAGTTTTATAATTCGTTTGGGGAAAAGGAATCCTTTATTCTGCTTTTGATGTCGGGGAAAAACATCGTTAAATTTTATTCGGTAGTTATCGAAATGGATATTTTCATTGAAATATGGTACCCAGAATTTTTCGTGATTACAATACTTCCTTTACTTCGTACAAAGAAGTACAAATAGCCCTTTAACTGCTTTATTT